AATAAAAACATCAATTCCTATTGGCTCAGGGCTCCAGGCTTAAAACCTCATTTAACCTTAATCCCCTCTTAAAGGCCATATTTTTAATATAGTCATATGGGGGAGGGGACTGGGCTTCAATATATGAACTGGGGAAAAGAGACACAATCAGTACATAGCAACCACTTCTTATCCATGAAAGCCCATACAAAGTCAACTAAAGCAGACGGTCTAGTTACCAGCCCACAAGGATAGGGTACTAGCCTGACTGAAATTTATACCATACAACATATAGTGTAACTATAGAAAGAACGTCTTAATCAGAAAAAGGGAAGGCTTATGCAAAGGAGCCTAAATGTGCTCAAAGGGAAGAGGGAGCCTCTGCACAGAATGTGGAGAACCTTGGTTTCACTGGCTAGGCAGGGTTCCATTTGGAGGTGGATGAAGGTGGCCCTGGCAAAGTCAGATCATGCCAAGTACTCATCTGCATCTTAATCCTTATAGTGAGGTGGATAATACACCAAATGCCACTTAGGGAATCCATTCACTCTCCTTATAATGCTTCATGTGCACCAACTCCTGACCCTGATGTGACCAAGGTTGACTTGACGGAGGAAACGCATGGAAGAAATGTCACCCAAGTATCTCGGCTCTGAGGTAAGCATTTCTTCCACCAAAATGAAGTAAGTTAATGTTGATCATGGTTTGACTTCCAAACCACCTTGAAAAAAAATAACTATTGACATTAAAAGGAGTGTTGGAGACTGTATAGATTTCAATTCTTACTGGAAATTAGTTGTGATTACCTTCTGTAGCTTAGTTTCATGTCTACTTTGTTCATGTGAATCAACCGTTGGAGACACATGGCCACTGGGCAGTTAATATAGGTCTTGGAGCATGGTGACCTTCTCAAGTCAGTGACATCAGTGACCCCTTTGCCCAACATCAATTTCCTTCTCTCTATGCCTCCCCTACCTGTTATAATTCCTTCCTTTCTCTACAGATTTCTACACAAACCAGACCAAGATTACTGTTCAGTAACAGTAAAAGTAATGTCCTGAGAAATTGAAGAGCAGGTGAATATATTGATTGAAGATCTGGAGAAAGCCCAAAGAAGAAAGATTTCACTTGGGCTATCTGTAGGAGAGGGATTTCCATAAGAGAATGGCAATGGGGGAAATGGAGGAGAAATACCTGCAAAGGGGATAGGTGAAGTCTTCAAGGAAAGAAAAACAACCTAACATGATTCCTATGTCTTTGACTTCAGCCACTAGGTGAATGATTGACACTAAGCAATTGATGTTCCACATTTGTGAGGGCACTTCAGGAAATCAGTGGATTCTGTCAACACATGTTGAGACCCAGTTTCTGTGAGATTTCAAACACAATATGACTCTGAGGCTCAAGAAAGGTCTGAAGGAATCCTCTTATACTAGCATATCCTTTGTTCTAAGTCTCTTTTCTCCCATTTGAGTTTTACGGCCAATATGAGCACTTGTACTGACTATTCCTGGCTCTACTTATCTTCTACATTCTTGCATCCCTTCTTCCTTTCCCTTGATCTGTATTCCCTCACCCCTTACGTTCTTGCTCTATCTCCCCATAACTATAAACTGTTCACTTTGTTTGCTGACACAGACAGGACTGAGAAGTGACTGTGAAATTCAGAAATAATAAATATTTGAGGTCCCATCTCAAAGTTGCAGTCTCAGACTGGCACCAAACAGCAATAACATAAAAACAGGTGAGATGAACCCTTAATGGGTCTCATGGACCACAGAGTTCCTTGTCTCCCCCCCTCTAGAAAGCTACAAACAATATAAATTATACCAAGGATTCTTGACAAACATCTGATTGTCCTTGCTGTACAAGAGGCTGGTCACATGCAACCCTGCACTTCCTCCTCATTTCTTCCTCCATTCCATGAAAGTTATGGAAATCCATGTGTACTTCATATGGAAGAAACAGATGAGTCAGATCCAGATTAGAGATTAACTGACTCCAAGGCTCAGATGACATGAATTCAGGAGAACTTCCATTTAAAATGGCAAAAATAATAAATTCAGATTTAAATTAGTAGCACACTTGGGCTGGAGAAGGTGTATCTGATTAGACCTCCCTATAATTTCCATTAAGAGCATATAAAAGAAGATTTCATTTAAAGTACATTTATTTTTTAATGCTGATTTAATAACATCAACTAAAGAGAACCCATGGTGAAAACACTAACTACCTAAAGGAATTAAAGTCAGCAAACACTAGAGACACCTGTATATCCATGTTTATGGTAGCACTATTTGCAACAGCCAGGTTATGGACTCAGCCTAGGTGCCCATCAACAGATGACTGAATAAAGAAAATGTGGTATATGTGTAGAATAAACTTTTATTCAGCTATAAAGAACAAAATCATGTCACTTGCATGAAAATGGAAGGCACTTGAGATTATCATGTTAAGAATGTTAAGAGATATAGACCAGTTTCAGAAAGATAAGTATTGCTTGTTTTCCCTCATATGTAGATTTTGGAAAAGAAATCATTAAGTAGAAAGGAGATGATGAGGGAAAAGGAAGGAGATCAGTGGGAGGATTGGAGTTTAAGTGAGAGTAACAGGGTGTTAAATTTGATCAAATTACATACAATGATGTATGAATATTTCATAATGAAAACCATTATTTTGTACAGTCACTATACACTAATGTAAAAAATCTAGTTTCAGAAAACAGCACCAAAAACCCTATTAAACTGAATATACACATTGTGATCACTGATTTTTGAAATAAATACTGGTTTAGCACATGGTATGTACCAGGTACAGACCAGAAAAGAAGACGTGTTTGTCCCAGCCATTAGTGGAAAAGTAAGGGAATAGCTCTTCCATGCCACGCAATGAACTCTGGATCCTCAGACAGTTGGGGGACCAATCCCATACAGGAGGAGCTAGAGAGGAATAAGAGAAGAGGCAGGACAGAACTACACATTTGCTCAAAAGTGATCCTGGAGATGTGACTGACTGAAGTCAGTCCCTCCATTCTCTGCATAGGTGCCACCAAAGAGATAAATGGCACTCAAGCAGAAGGAAAAAAATCTATCCCAGCTTTCATCTGTACTTGCCAGTGCATGAAAAGAAAAGCAAATAACTTTTTTTAGAATGTTGATAGAAACTATTGGTTGAAATTAAATGCAAAAAATCAAGTGATCCAGAATAACCCACTCTTAAAGGACTCTGCTTATTTCAGGTCTTCTACTTTTCTCCTGGAGAAGAGAAAATGGCTACCATCATGAATCATGCATCCTTTACCACTGACTGGCTGCTCAACACTGCCCACCCTTCCAGAAAGCTCCATATGCCTCTATTCCAGGCAAAGCAGAATGGTTACTGTCCCCCAACTGCACTCAGTCACTCCTCAGATTTGTGCTGGCCAAATTTCCCCACGTGGCAAACATACCTGCCTCTGGTGCCAGACACAACATGCCTCAGCCCGACACACCCTCAGCTCCCTATTTCTAGTTCTCCTGTACTCAAGTGAGCTGCCAAGAGACCATGCTTAGATTATTTGCAAAGACAAGTCTGTTTTCTGATTGCTTCTTATGCCGTGCTTGGTGGTATTTGCTTCATAGCTCATTTTCTCACCCATCTCAATTTCCAACAACAACCTTCACAGTCCCTGGTCTAGAAGAGCATTCAAATATTTATATTTAATCAACAAAAATTGCTGAAGTGTTAAACAGTTTAACTGCAACAACTTTAAAAGGTCGTTCTAATTTGAAAGTGTTAGCATATCACAGCCAAGGATTTTACTCATTTTTGCTAATCAGATAAGCATAAAGATACTGAAGATTAATTTTAGCATATGACTCAACTTGCTACCTCCTGCATACTGACCAAATGTAATAATCTGCCTATGCTGCATTTTGTTTAATGAAAACACATATTTCAAATTTATAAATATTAAATATCACAAAATTTTTACAAAAAATCATAAATGTTAATAACAAAGACAAAAAGAAACTATTTAAGTACATTAATGTACAGAGTGGTGTCCTAACAGTAGTACACCCAAAAGAATATGGTCACAATATACTCTAAATATCCATGAGTTCATTCCTCCAATAAAGCCCAAATAAATTACACCATCAATAGGCTCTCACTCTAAAAGTAACACCAAAAATCCCAGTTGGACAACCAATGTACTATGCAATTATAACATTAACATGGAATACAGAAAAATTTAACCCCTTACTTCAACAATGGAACTTACTTCAACTTCTTTAATGGAGGAATTGAAAAAAAAAGAATAATAACTGGTTAAATTGATCATCATGATTTAGTAATTTGGTGATCAAATTTAAATTAAGCTCATCCTAGAAATACTAGTTCTGTCTCATAATTATATTTTGCTGATTAACCTAATGGGAATGTTAGGGCTTTATCAAAAATCACTGGCTCAACAAAAGTTTATTTTCTTATTTTTTAAATTTTTTTTCAGAGAAAACATGTGACCTTGCTCATAGCTACACACATGCACACTTGTGCCTATGCATACACATATAAAATAAGAGGAAGCCCCACCCCTCTGGCAGTCAAATGGAATGACACATGCATACATTCCTCAGGAAAGCTCGTATATGTGGTTTGTTTAAAAATATGATTGGTTGGGAAATGGTTGAGAGAGAGAGAGAGAGAGAGAGACTTAAATGAAAAGTTAAAGTTATGCTCTTAGTTTCTTTGCCAGAAGATTAAAAAAAAGAAAAAGAAAACCCATCCAATAGGGCTTTTAATGTCTTAAAGTGTCCTGGAAAAGTTGTTTCTAAACAGTTTTTAAATACCTGGAGGTCATCCCTAAAACGAACAGGGACACTGGATGCAATCAATATTACATTAATTTAAATTCTTGTAAATGACATTCTCTGCATCCAAGATAACCACAAAAATAAAACCAATGCAAATTTTCCAAGGGCAATGAAGGTACTTTAAAAAAAGAAAGAAAGAAACTGGAAAGTGCCCAGCCCTGGTCTCACCTCTGGCTCTTCTGGTGCATCACCTCCAAGGGGAGGTTTCTGGAGATCAAAGATGCCATGGCTGGATGCCCGTCTCTGCTCCACAGGAGAGGCAAAGATCTCCTCTGAGTCAGTTTCCACTCCATGGAGATGGCTGGTTTCTTCCTGGCTCCAATCTAACTCTTCTTCAGATTGCTTCAAGGAGCTACTGCTACTCTTGGGAATGATTCCTGCAGTTGACAGACTGTTGGGCACTGAGGTGTAGGAAGACTGGGGCCCAGAGTAAGGCAGACCCTCTGGGGCCAAGCCCTCAGCCTCCAGGAGATCAGGTACAGAGAGACTGAGGCGCCTGTCCAGGTGATGCTGTGCTCTTAAGTCTAGGGGATTGTTTGGGTTCTTTTTCACCTTCTTCTTGCTCAAGTTGATTAACAGTGGCCTCGTCCGCTGTTTTAATGAACCCCAGACAGAAGGTTTATCCAGATCCATGGCTGCATGAAGAACCAAGAATTCACTCCTCAAAAGAGTGTACCTTTATTGAAAATATCTTCCACGATCCTATAAAACAGAACATGGGAGAGAGGACGTGAATCTTCTTTATGGTGTCAGAGCACACGGAAGAAGGAGAAAACCCAGAAATCTACACTTTCCATTAAGTGATAGAGATTAAAACATTCAATTCATAACGTCCAGAAATACTGGGAAAAGCATTTTTAAGGAACAGAACCTTTAAAGTTTTTATCAGAGTCATTACAGAAAAGTTCAAGAAATAAATGAGGTTATAAAGTTAAGTCGAATCTTCAAAGGAAATCTACTTTTGTATTTCCTCTGCAGAGAAAGCAGAGCTAAGACACTATAATAAGAACCGTGGTTTTTCATCAGTCTGGTCAATTATACTTCACTAAATCAAGGATCAGCAAACAGTCTCTGCATCAGGGCAGTTACTGAATATTTCATACTTTTGTTTTATTAATATTTTTAATTATTTAATTTTGGTTTTGAATTATCATGCATTAATAATTTGAGAATATTTTATTGGGATAATTCCATATATGCCTACAGTGGACCTTATATTTTACATTTGATGGGTCAGGTGATGGCTGTTGAAACTACTCAACTCTGCTGGCATCACAGACAAAGAAAACATGAAAAAACATTAACATTGCTGTGTTCTAATAAAACTTTATTTATAAAACCAGGCAGCAGCCTCCAGTTTACCAATCTCTGTTTCCTTTCCAGAACTAAGCGTGTGTTCTAAAGTGCAAAAATAGGGTCATGTGAACTTGGATTCCATGTAGTACATTTACATTTTATGCTAACATAATGACAATGAGAGAGAAAACTTATAAAAATGGGAGCTCTGTTCTTACCCAGAAGAACTAACAAAACTTCTATAATGGTGGAAGAGATTCATTCTGAGAATGTGGGTAAGGACAGTAGTCACTCACATACAGTCAGGAGTGAGTGAAAAGCAAGCATCACTGATAGATATGTAACCACAGAGCATGGTGAAAAGAGGTGACTTGAGATGTAACAGGTGGAACCCATCAGTGACCAAATCAAATCAAATTTGGAGACATAACCTTATTCTATGTGCCAACTGCCTCAGAATAAATCCTTTCAATGTGGAAGACTGTGGTTGGCCACTGTGACCTGGCCTGTACTTACCATGCCAATTTCGCTGAGAAAAAATGAAGCCAGGGCCCAGAAAAAGTTTGTGTACCTTCCCCATCTCATTTTATGATAAGGTATTTTGTCATAGATAAAGTAGTCCAGAGAACACACAGTCAGGGTGCATGCTGAATTTTTGTCTGTTGAAGGAAACTAAGTCTCTGTAGCCCTGCCTAACAACCATCAGCATGAGCAAACAAACCTCCAGAATGGACTAGGTGTGTTCTGTAGCAGAGAATAAGATACGGGGTGTATTTGAACAGAAGCAGCATTAGGAGCTCTGTGTAAACAATGAGACTCAAGATGTACTCACATAGTGGAGGACAGTGAGATATGTACAGTGTTCAACAGAATTGAGTGGAGCTTTGCAGATTTCATATGAGTATTGAGAGTGAGAGAGACAGAAATAGAGTAGACAGACATCACACAAGACTTGTCAAAAGAATGTCTTTAAAAAAATTTTTTACTTTATCATTTTTACATGTACTTACATGTACATACATTATTTGGGCCACCTACCCTTTTGCCTCCAGGCAGAACCTGTTCTGCCCTCTTATTCTCTGATTTTGTTGAAGAAGAAACATAAAAGATAATAAGAAAAACATGGCATTTTTGCTACCTTGAGATAAGGATAGCTATACAGGGAGATTATTTATGCTGTTTCCATGCATATGTATATTCTTGGGCTTCTACACATAAAATGAACCCAAGTCCCAAGACTCTGTCTTCCAATAAACCTCCCTGGTCCTTGTGCAGACCAAAGATTAAGAATCAAAATCCTAGAGAGAGAGGCTTGTGCTCCCTTTAGGAGTAATCTGCTTATTTTGAGGAGAAATTACGAGAGGAATTAGACTCTCACAAAATGGAGAGATTTGAAATTCTGTATCTGAGAAATCAGAAATTTCTGTCAGAAAATGGAAAAAAGGGCTTGAGACAAGTGTATCTCTGATGAATGTGTTGTATGGGGAAATAAGAAACTGTTCTTGCCAGTGAATAACTTCTCTCCTTTTTGAGAGGGCAGGAGACAAATTGGGGAAGGTTGGTATAATGAACACATTATCAGGACATTATACCATCTTCAAGAGAAAATCCAGGTGGGATGTAAGGATATACCCACAATTACTGGATGCTGGAATCACAAGTCCACCTTGTTTGTTTTGAAAAAAAATGTACATTATAATTTTTATGTTTCTGAAATCAACCTATAGAAAAATTGGCTTTCCTCCCTTTGGTGTACAGCTCTGTAGTTTTAACACATTTATAAATTTTTGTTTCCACCCTAACAATCAGGTCACAGAAGGGATTATCCCTTTACAGTCACTCCTCCCAAGCCCCCACTTGTTCCCTTTGACAACTGCTATTCATCATTACAGTTTTGTCTTTTCAAGAATGGCATGAATAGAATCATACAGTATGTAACTTTTAGAGACTGGCTTCTTTCACTCAGGATAATACTTTTGAGATGCATTCAAATTGTTGCACCTGCCAGAAGTTCATTTCCTTTTTATTGCTGAGAGCAATATTCCATTGTAAGGATGCATCACAACTTACCTATTCCCTTAAAGGACTTTTAGGTGGTTTATAATTGTTAGCTCCTATAAATAAAACTGTTATAAACATTTGTGTAGAGGTTTTCCTTTATAGGAAACATATGTATTCATTTCTCTGGAATAAATGTCCAAGAGGGTAATTTCTGAGTCATAGGGTAAGTGAATGTTTACTTTATAGAAACTTTTCTAGAGTGTCTCTGTGATTTTTACATTTCTACCAACAACTAGGAGAATTCCAGTTATTCTACATTCTACCCAGCACTTGCCACATCCATAATTTTAATTTCAGCCATTCTCATAAGTACATAGGCTATCATAGGGTTTTTTATTTTTGCTTTCATAATAGTGCATGATATTAAAAATTGTTTCATGCATTTATGTGCTAATGTTGCATGTAGTTCAGTAACATCTGTTCAAGACTTTTACCCAAATTTTAAAGTTTCAGTTGTTTGCTTTCTCATTCTTGAGTTATGAGAGTTCTATAGTTTTACATTTTAAGAGAATTTCTGCATAAGGCATGACGTTTAGTTCAATTTTCTCTTTTATATATAGGTTACAAATTTTTCCAATACTATTGTTTATTAGAGGGGAATGATAGAGGGGATGATATAAACTTTAATATAATGTAAGGACTTTTGTAAATGTCACAATGTACCCCCAGTACAACAACAATAATGATAATAATAAATTTTTAAAAAGGAAATTACTTAGCACCTTCTCCAACAATCAAATACCATATGTGTTTGGTTGTGTTCCTTGACTGTCTATTGCATTCCACTGATCTAAATGTCCATCGCTCTTTCCCTGCAATTTTGTTTTGACTAGTGTGTGCTAGTCTTAAAATCAGGATGTGTGACTCCAAATTCATTCTTTTCCAAATGTGTTTAGCTATTTCTGTTCTCTTGTACTTCGACGTCAGTTTTAGGATGAGTTTGTTTACATGTACAAAAAGACCAGCTGCAATTTTTATTGGCATTGTATTAAATCTATAGATCAGTCTGGGAAGCACTGACACTTTTATCATGTTGAGTTTTCTAACAAAAGAACATGGAAGGTTTCTCCACTTAAGGGTTTTTTTTGTTTCTTTCATTAGCATTTTCCAACTTGAGCATCCATATCCAGTACGTTTTATTAGATTTATAAGTATTTCATGTTTGGTGTAGTGTGTAGAAATTGCACTGAATTTTGTATGTTGACCTTTTGTCCTTTGAACTTGCTAAACCTAACTACTAGTTTTGTAAGATTCCTTTGGATCTTCTACATAGAAAATCATATTGTCTGTGGAAAGGATTGTTTTTATTTCTTAATGTTCATTTTATATAACTTTATTTCTTTTACTTGATTTACTCTGCTGCCTAAAGATTTTTGTGTAAAACAAATAATAAGAGTGAATGACCTTACCACTTTCTTGATCTCACAGAGAATGCAGTATTCCACCACAAATTTATATATTAGCTATTTATTGATTGTATTAATTTTTAAGGAAAAGGTTTTTGTTTTCTTTGTTTTTCATTGTTTTACTATTTTCAACATTATGTATCTTTGTTCTTGTTCTTATTTCTTTCCTTCTGCTTAATGTAGGTTAATTTTCTCTTTTTGCCTTTTTAAAGGTAATAGCTAAATTCAACAGATGGCCACAACTCATAGGCAAGATTCAGACACCAATTTTTATAAAGTTTCATTGAGTATAGCTACACATATTTACAATTGGTCATAGCTGCTTTTGTACTACAATTGCAATTTAATAGTAAAACAACAGCAACCAAATGGCTCACAGAACTGAGTATCTTCAATCCAGTCATTTACAGAGCAGGTTTGCTAACTGCTGTCATAGCACACTGACTTGAATCATTTCTTCATTTTAAAAATAAGGTTCAAGACTACTTATAAGTTGCACTCCATGAATTGTGATTATGTTTTCATTTTTCAGCTAGTTTGAAATACTTTCTAATTTACCTTCAAGTTCTCTGAGTCATGTAGAATTATATCAGATTTTTGCTTTTATTAACTTTTTAATTTTTTTTCCTCAAACTTCTTTTTTGAGCTGGGGTTTATTGTTGACTTCTAAATATATTGGAGACTTTTAAAAATTGGTATCAAGCTGTAGTCTATTTTGTGTGCATTCCGTGTATGCTTGAAAAGACTGTTCATCTATTATTGTTGAGTGGAGGATTTTAGAAATGTTCTTTTGACCCACTCTCTTGGTAATTCTGTTCTTTTATATCTGTATTGGTTTTCTATTATTTCTGCTACTGATGGAGAAGAGTTGATTTTTCAACTATAACTGTGAATTTGAGTCTACTTTCACTTATGTCAGTGTTCCTTCCATATTTTGAC